TGAGCCTCAGTTTCTGCTTCTACAGGTTGAGGGTAGGAAGAACCCTCTCTGCATCAGAAGTTGTGGTTAAGATATGATGGAACCATGATGAAAGTAAACCACCTTATCATAGCTTTCTATCCTACTATTAAGTTCCAGACCCTTTGTCCAACAACCTCCTAGACATTTCCACTTGGATCTTGCCCTTTTCTCAAACTCAACACCTCTAACACCTAATTCATCTTCCCCTATCATTAGCCAGGTTCTCCTCCAACACCTCTGGCTCTCCTACCTGACACTCCCATTCTCCAAACTGCCTACCGCCAATTATCAAATTACACAAATGAGTTTATTGCTAGTCAGACTACAGTGCACATGGTAGTTTCAATCCTTGCTGCTAGCAGGCTCACCGGGAACAACACTTAGGAAAGAGCACAGTAAATTGAGTCATAAACATGTTCAAACCAAGAAATTTGAATTCAATGGAATCTGTCCTAAGGAAATAACGTAAAATAGAGAAAAAGCTGCTTCCCAACATGTTTAGAGCAGTATTATTTAGATCAGAGAAAAAAACAAAGAAAAAGAGAAAGAAAGGAAACAATTTAACCATCCAGGAAATGTAAGCTAACTTACAATACACAGTTTCAACAAATGTTTGTAATTAATAAAAATGAGAGGAAAATGCTAATAATAAAATAAGTTTAAATGGCAACATTTAAAATTTAAGTGAACTTGCCCCTACCTAAAGGAACAGATGCTTGGGATATTTGGGAAATATCCCAAAATGTTCCATTTTACTCCGTCAATATATCGAGAGCATTTGTGAGAGACTGTTCTCTCCTCACTGGTTCCAAATATTTGCCGCAAGACCTGATGTCACTTGATTTGCCTTGACTATGGCCTCTTCTCCCAGATCTCTTCTGCTTCAAACTGATCACTCCTCGCCTGGCTTCTACAAACCTGTTTCATTACTTCAGAGGCAATTACTAGTTCCCCCTGCATTGGTCCTTTGAAATCCCACCCTCCTCTCCATTCACGGAGCATCTTATTTCAGACCCTTGTCATTCGTCTCTTCCTTTCCTGGCAGCAGTGTCACCCCTCCCATCACCTTCCAATCCATTTTCCTGGCCCTGCTGACAGCCAGGCAGCTCTCAAATCTTACCATGTGACATACTAAGAGTTCTTCAAGAGGGCTCTCTCACCTGCAAGGTAAGGTAGGAGCTTTCAACTCAGACAAACAAGACCTTTTCTGATCTGCCCCCAAACTGCCTCAGCTTCTGCCAGTCAGGCCACCACTCCTCTCCTCCAACAAGATCCCCCAGTCCAATTTACTGTACTGTCTCTACCCCTGGCCTACATAGCACTCCAGTCATGCCTCTGACACTGTGAACACCCTCAGGGCAAGAATTCTAGCACTCTGTCTCATGACCAACATCACCTTGCGACTCCCTCACTGGACAGAAGGAAGGAGCAGGCCAGTGTTCCTCACCTTTCTACATCATTGCCATGTGTATTTCCACTACCAGCATCCATCTCCCCTTGCTTGGAACTGCCTTCCCACCGCATTTCCCAAATGCTAATCTTGCACTGTCTAGTATAACGCCACTAGCCACATAGAGCTACTGAGTTCTTAAAATGTAGCAAAATCATTTCAAAATGAGACATGCTAGAAGTGTACAATACAAACTGGATTTGAAAGACGGTATGAAAAACAGAATGTAAAAAATGGTAATATTTTATATTGGTTACCTATTGATATAATACAGAGTAGATCTGTGGGATAAATAAAATGTATTACTAAAATTAATTTCACCTCTTTCTTTTTACTTTTTTAAATGTGGCTACTAACAAATTTTAAGTTACACATATGGTTCAGTAGTCTAGCTATCCTTCAGGGACCAGCATGAGGAAACCCTTCTTCAAAATGCCCTTATGTTTGTGCCACTCTTAATGATCTTATTTCACCTCTTGAAATCCTATAACAGAATGCAACATTTAAGCCATTATCTAATTACATACCACATTATATGCTATTATATCAATTCTTCTTGCTTTATTAATACCATTCCTAAATGTGGATTTGTAGTAGGTACTCAATGTTTAATTAAACATGGGATCTTTGCTGGAGCAACAGAGCAATACACAGAATTTTTTTGGTTTCTGTTTTGTTTTGTTGACTCACTTACTCTCCCATTGATGATTTCAACAATACAGGCAGAACTGGAAGTCAGGGGACCAACTAGCTCTTTGTTCTACCTGTAATTAACACAATGCATACAGGCCCTATTGCTTGGCCTTTTTTAAGGTCTGTCTGGGCCTCAGAATCCCACCTTGTAAAGTAAGGTTAATAATATCAGGGCAATCTATAATACAGAGCCAGATAAAAGGAACTAAGCAAATTCTAACTGGAGCCATTACCATGAATGAGAAATACTGTACTTTCCAGAGTTTGTAGCGTGTATCTCAGCCAGTTGTCTTTAACACAGACTAAGTTTTAGAAAGACAGAACTTACAGCAATTATCAAAATATAAGGAGTGGTGTGGGAAAGTACCTATCGAAATACTTGTCTTAGCCTATTCATGATGGGAGGCAAGTAACAGGAGAGGAACCTGTTACATGCCTGTTACAAGCTGAAGTAGTTTATATATTAGACTCGCAATAACCTTTACAAGGCAGACATGACCATACCCATCTGACAGAGTAAAGAAACTGAGGTTCAAAGACAGGCTAAGTAACCAGCCAAAGTGATGCCGCCACAGGCTGGAAATCCAGATCAGTGGTATCACCTTTGTATGTAAAAAAGAACATCTTTATTATCGCTTGAAGACAAAATATGTGAAAAGCAAGACTATTACAGAAATATGCAAATAAAAATACAACAATAATGTCCATTCATTTCCTTCGAATGGTTTTCTTGATCTTGGCTAATTCCTGTCTTTCAGATCAAGAGGCCATTTTTTTCTAAGTAGACTTTTTTCTTTAAGTAGCAAACAAATAGGGTATATGATGTACTATGAACTAGTATATTAATGTACTATATTTCTTTAAAGTCTTTCCCAACCACAGTTGTCAGCCAAAATCTACATTAAACGTTTTAACTAGAAGTCTTCAGACACATTTATAAAAGTGTAGTCCCTATGGATAAAGTTGCAGCAAGAAAGGACACTGAGTCATTCCACAAACAAATGCATCCACAAAAAACAACCGAATATTAAAGAACCTCACTATTTTACAAAACTGAGATCATAATGAGCTCAATGAAATGAAAAAAGAAAGTTCCTCAAAATAAGATACTGCACCTTAAAATGAAACCACAATTCCACAGCCTTGAAAACAAACTACTTTCTCAGAATGGTAACAATGTACTGTGCATCTCTAAGAAGCCAAACTCATTTAGGTTTAATTGATTCCGCCTTTACAAAATGGAGCCAACATGATCCTGCAGACTTGGACAGAACAAAAGTTCAAATTCTCTACCACAGAAAAAGTCCCAGAATATCAAATCCTTTAAAAGACTGTTCCTTTATCAAAAATGTCCCTGCAGTAGGTGTTTATCACTCACTAGAACTCTGCACAATGCAACCTGTGTGAGCATGAGACTTTACTACAGGGAGGAGGCAGTTCAGTTTACCAAGGACATTTGACTTCACTTTCATAACTCTAGAAAACTAATCTCTCTTAACAGTAAGTAATTAATTTACATTCATTCCAAACTGAAGGGGATAGTGTAAATCTCAAGGAGTCTGAGATTGTGAAGAGCTGCACTTGGAAAAACCAGGTGTGTGTGTGTGTGTGTGTGTGTGTGTGTGTGTGTGTGTTTCCTCAGAGGTACTTCACAGGGTATAAATAGAAATAATTAGCAACTTTTAATCTCATGAACAAGATCTTTACTTAAAATTCTCACATATAAAACGAACTCTTTAATGTTATATTTCCTCAAGTGACAGACACATTAAGACTGCGTGTCCTAAATCAGGTGTTTTTTTTTTTTTTTTTTCCCTCATTTTATGAATAAAAAAGACATCCAGAGGAAACAAAGTGTCCTTTTCTCAGCCTCCAAAAACACTAGGGACAACACAAGTAGCACAGGTGTTTGGTCTTAAACAAAAGTTAAGACTAAGTAGGGAAGAAAATGGAAAACAAAACATAGCCTAGCAAAGCAGCTAGAGATCACATGCAGCAGGTGACAGGAAGCCTTGGGGACACTTCACAGCCACAAGGATGAGCTTCATGGCGGGTCAACTGCAGGCCCCCTGGGCTCCACAGACCCTCCACCCAGCAGTCCACAAAAACCAAAGGCGGCAAAGAACTCTCACTGCCATCCTGGCAAAAAAGCAGCAGCAGCCTCCTTGAACCCAGGAAAGCCACCCCTCCCTCCACAAACAGGAGGAGCCCCCTTCACACCAACCACACAAGCAAGCCCAAGCGGCCAGACCCAAAATAAAAATAAAAATAAAAATAAAAGTAAAAATAAAAATAAAAATACGAGGAGAGCTGGAAGATAGATGACAGCTCAATTAAATTTATCCTGGGAGCACTGGGAGGCTCCGTCTCTCTGAAGACTCCGACTCAAAAGTAAAAATAAAATTTAAGGGGAGGGAGCCCACAGAAGAGAGGACAGTTCAGTTAAGTCTGGGCTGGGAACACTTGGAGACTCAGTCTACTTCGGGTGTCAGGGTCCAAAATTAAAATTTAAAAAACGAGAGGGGGAGGTGTCAGTTTATTTTATGCGTGTCTGTGTAGCACCTGGAGTGTAGGATTTGCCAGGGAGGGGAAAGTCGCAGGTCCGCCGGCCTTGAGGTGACCGGGAGCAAATCCGGGGTAAGTTTACACTCCGGGCGACAGGCAGACCCGAGGGCCAGACTGCCCGCTGTCCGGGAACAATGCTGGGCCCCGGAAAGGAGGGTCTCACACCACCCCCTCACGTCCCCCGCACGCCGTCGGCATCCCAGCCCCGACCCTCCCCCGGCCCGCGTCAGGGCAGGTACTCCCGAACCCGGGGACCCACAGTGGGCCTCACCCAGCAGCGCCCGCAGGTGCTTCAGGCGCGTCAGCACGTCCTTCTTGGGGTCCAGCACCTTCTGAGTGGACTTCTTCACGTCTCCGTGGCTCCTTCGGGAGAACATCCCGCCGCGGGAAACCCGGGCCCCGCCGGCGGGGCAGCAGGCGCCTGCGCCGCACTAATCACCTCATAGGGTCCGAGTCCGCGCGTGTCGCGCCGGCCACTCGGCGCCCCCCCGCCGGGCCGCCACCGCTGCCTCTGCTTCTGTCCCTGCCGCCACCGCTTCGGTTGTGCCTCCAGGAAGGAGGGGCGGGCCGGTACGGCGAAAGGCGGGGCAGGAAGGCGGTGTTCGACGCGAAATCCACAGCCCCGCCCCGCGGGAGATGCGGGCCGGCCCTTCGGGATCGGCGCAGGCGCACGCGATTTGGACTCTCCTCGCGGGACCGCGCCGGTAGCGACTAGTGGGCACCGCGAATCACAAAGAAGCTTGGATCGTGAACACGCTGTACTACAAGTCCCGGAACGCACAGCGACAGAGCCTTCCAATCATGTTAAGGGTGTCTTGGGCACGATGGGAGTTCATGGGTGGGATCTGTTACGTTCTTCCTCCCCACCTTATCGTACGCTGCAAGACCTCTAGGGAAATGTAGTTCTTCAGCGGGCGGGGCGCGGTGACTTACCTTTCCAGAGTCCCCATGCCTCTGGACAGCATCCGCCTGCTCCCTTCCTGGAGAGGCCCAGAGCTCTCAAAACCTTACTCCTTGCCTTATACCACCAAGCCATTTTCCTCTAGTGCAACGTGAACCGCAGTAACATCTCGGTAAGAAAAGCTTTGAAGGCTTTTATTTTATTTTTTAAGATCTGTGTCTTTTGGGGTTTTTTTGTTTGTTTTTTGGTTTGGTTTTTGTTTTGTTTTGTTTTTTGTTTTTTTAGTTTCAAGTTTTTTAAAATACAAACTATTTTTCGTTTTGACTTATAGATGCACACTAAGGAGGGAGTCGAAGTCCCTTTGGCCAAACTAAAATCTGAGCTCCAATTTCACACGAAAATCAATGGCTTTGGCAGCAGAGAGAGCATCCCTACACTCTGGTTCAGGAGTCCAGCCAGTCCGCTTCGTTCCTGGGATCCAGGTTCCTGGGGTATGAGGTGCCCTTGCTCAGACGGGTCCTCAGAATCTTTCTCTTCCTTTGTGGGAAGTGCACGTTCTTTGTGTTGTGCAAGCCTGCATAGCAATCCAGTAGCAGAACCAGAAATAGAACCTGAGGGATCTGACTCTCAGGCTGGTATGCTTTTGCAGGTTAGGTGCCTGTAACCTGGAGCAAAACTCTGAAATGGAAAATGGCCTGGAGAGTTCTTACTAGAGATCCTTAGGATTATTTACAGGTACCTGGATCCTCTGACACCAAATTTTGACATTTGAGCAAGCATTTAACGCTGGGTGTTTAAAATCATAGGCTTTCCATCCAATTGGGACAAGACAAGTTTTCTCATTTAAGGGAACCTGTAACTTGGGGGAAGAGCGAAGAGATTTACATAGCTTTGTAGTCTCACAACTAGTATAATGTTTGTCCTCTAGAAGCACTCACTAGAAGTTTATTAAATAAAATGGAGTAAGAGCTAGTTCTATCTATGCTATTTTGACAACTCTAAAAATAGGCTCTAACAACTAAATGTTTTCACATGCCCTGATGAGATAAATATCCATGTCTTAATCCAAAGAACATGTGATCGTGACTGTTTTTTTAGAAAAAGGATCTTTACAGATGTTATTAAGGATCTCAAGGTAAATCCTCTTCACTAATCTGGGTAGTCCCTAAATCTAATGAGTGTCTTATATTTATAAGGGATAGAAGAGGAGAAGACACAGAGAAGGCCATGTAAAAATGGAGGCAGAGATTAGAGTCATGTAGCCATAGGCCAAGTGATTCCTGGAGCCACAAGAAGCTAGAGGAAACAAGGAAGGATTCTCTCTGGAGGTTTTCCAGAGGGAGGCTGACCCTACCAACACCTTGATTTTAGACTTCTGAACTTAAGAACTGAGAAAATAAATTTCTGTTATTTTAAGCCACCTCATGTGTGGTACTTTGTTGTAGCAGCCCTAGAAAATGAATAGCACCAGATACTGGAGACAACCCAGTGTGACTATCTAACAAGATCAGAATGACTGATACTGATTATAATACTTAAAATAAATAAAAAATCAGGAATGCATAATGATACTCAGAAGAATGCTTTTTGGAGTCCTAGGTGAGTGTTTCAAGTAGAAGACATAGCTTGTACCTTTGATAATTTGGGGCAGACTTTTTTTTAAGAATTTATTTGGGGCACCTGGGTGGCTCAGTTGGTTAAGCATTTGCCTTCGGCTCAGGTCATGATCCCAGGATCCTGGGATCAAGCCCCACGTCAGGCTCCCTGCTCAATAGGGAGCCTGCTTCTCCCTCTCCCACTCCACCCTCTCTCTCTTTTAAAAAAAAGAAAAGAATTTATTTATTTGAAAGAGAGAGAGCTAGCAGGGGGTGGGGGGGTAAAGAAGGAAGGTAAGGGCGGGGAGGTAGGGACAGAGGAAGAAGAAGAAACAGACTCCCTGCTGAGTGGGGAGCTCCTTCCAGTCTCCAGGCAGGTCTCCATCAAAGGACCCTGGGATCAGGACTCAGCTCAGCTCAAAATCCCTGAGCTGAAGGCGCACACTTAATCAACTGAGCCATCCAGGGGACCCCGGGTGGACTTTTTTTAAAAAAGAAGCCCCGGGTGACTAAGACCGTTTCTCCATAACAAATGGGGAACCTGATCTGAACTGGATTTGTGTTTCAAGATTCTAACCAGGGAAGAGTGCAGGGCTTTAGAACTTTATAATTTCTTCCATATATCACTTACCAGAAAGGATCACGTTTTCCTGATGACCGGAAATTGAATTCACGTGTTCAGGAAGACAGAACCCAAGAAACCAGGACAGAGTAAGGGAAATAAGACACTGAGAAGTCCCAAAGAATAAAGAGAAACACATATCAATTCTTGAAGTTTGTAGGAGGATTTTAGAATTTTTTTTTTGCTTTTGTATCCTATTTACATAAATTCAAACCAACACATATTTAGTGAACAAGCCATACCATTAAACTGTGATGACCATAGATTTCTACTTCCCATTCTTTTCTATTTTACTGAAAATTGGTGTTTAAAGGGCCATGTGAAAACTGCAACTCCTACCATCATTGATGTTAAATACTTATCAAACAATTCTATCATTCATCATTGTTGGGCTTATACCCAGTACAGGGTCAGGGTCAGAAGTCAATCAATTTTGTGGAATAAATAAACTCATTCATTCATTTCTTCATTAATATCTTAGCATTCTTAGGGAGTGTTGTTTGGAACCATGTTTTCAATTTGACGTGTTTATGCATCCAAATTTTAAATTCTATCCCTTTTTCCTCAGAAATTTTTCTAAAATATAGACAGACCTCTCTGTTTTCTTAAACTGCTTATTCATTGTTTAGGAAACCATAATTTGTCCTGCCCACCCACTGTGATCCCCTTCATCTCCTCCTAAATGAGCGTTGCCACCGGACACAAAGGAGAAACGCCTGGTAGATCTTCCCCATCTTATTTTGACCACTTCTTGACCCCAAATTCAGTAACTGCTATCAGAGACCATTTGTTTGCCTTTTTAACTTCCATATTAGAATCTTTTTATATGTTTAGACCTGCCAGCTCTTAGTTTCCAGATAATCTAAAAGTCAATGTATTTTACTTTCTAATTGTCACCCATCAGAATTTTTCAGTTTGGAAGGATGGGGGGATTTTTCAGATTGACTAAAATATCTTGTGCCTGACTCATTAATTCTAGTTGTCGTGTATATTCTATTAATTTTGGTATATGGAAAAATTCAGCTGTTAGCTGCAGACTTTCCTATCAGATAAGCTCATTGTTTCTGCCCTCAGGAGTAAGATCTTTTCATACATCAGACACACTGTGGATCTTCATTTGGATACTATTGCCACAGAGAGCCAGCCCCAGTGAACTTCTGTGACATAGTCTGTTTTTATTGGCCATTGATTGGACCTTTACATTCCTATTTTATTAAAAAAAAAAAAAAAAAGCTATCGGGGCACCTGGGTGGCTCAGTGGGTTAAGCCTCTGCCTTCGGTTTGGGTCATGATCTCCGGGTCCTGGGATCCAGCCCTGCATCGGGCTGTCTGCTCAGCGGGGAGCCAGCTTCCTCCTCTCTCTCTGCCTACTTGTGATCTCTCTCTCTCTCTCTCTCAAATAAATAAATGAAATCTTAAAAAAAAAAAAAAAAAAGCTATGATCTAAAAAATTCAATTTTTTTCTTATATTGGCTCTTACCCTGAAATTTTGAATTCATTCAGTGTTTATGCTATGCCCCGAGAATCTGCCCCTATCTAAAATCCCTATGAAAAAGGGGATACCCTATAAGAATGGAATACCCTATAAGAATGGAATGCCAGACTCAATGCTAAAGAAACAAGAAACCCGATGTCCTCATTTTCCAGATGATATATGTCATTTTCCAGATGACACTGAAAATATATTTTTTCTTCTCCAAAAAGGTTTCCTAATAGTTTCTTTTCTTTCCAAATATCTGTCAAATAAGGAGATTTAATACTTTATTTTTTAATTTATACGTTTTTGTTCCTGTACATTTCCTTTTTTTAAATTTTTTATTTTTTATAAACATATAATATATTTTTATATATTATACCTGTATACCTGTACCCCAGGGGTACAGGTCTGTGAATCACCAGGTTTACACACTTCACAGCACTCACCATAGCACATACCCTCCCCAATGTCCATAACCCCACCCTCCCTCTCCCAACACCCCTCCCCCCATCAACCTTCAGTTTGTTTTGTGAGATTAAGAGTCACTTATGGGATTGGGAGTTTTAATACTTTAAGCTTGACTATAAATCATTTTATATGAGAATTTCACTTTAGGAGATACTTGAAAAAGTTTTTGGAAATGTACTAGCCATATTGATATGTCTGATGGACACTTGATAACAAAGCAGTGCTTTAAGTGGAGGAAAACCTAATCGTTTTTCTAAATTTAGTCAAATGTTTTCACAGCTGTGCATTTCAACCATAATGTCATCTGCTTTGGGTATATTTTCATTTTTTTTTTCATCATCAGAATAGTATTAACATTTCAGTGGTGAATTGTGGAAACATGTCAAAATTGGAAAAATGCAAGCCTATAAGAAGTATCATAAGAGGGACGCCTGGGTGGCTCAGTTGGTTAAGCGGCTGCCTTCGGCTCAGGTCATGATCCCAGCGTCCTGGGATCGAGTCCCACATCGGGCTCCTTGCTCGGCAGGGAGCCTGCTTCTCCCTCTGCCTCTGTCTGCCTGTGCTCGCTCGCTCTCTCCCC